TATATACTGAAGGGCCGGTAAAATGAAGACGTTGATGGTTGTCAAGTAACGATGTGCTTTGGGAATTTTACTTTTGAAGTTTACAGGGCTCAAAGTTTGTTCTGACTGAATATTAAAATTCAATGAACACCACGTTTAGTTTAGCTTTTCATTTTGATCTGTCAACCCTGCCTTATCTGTATGTTGTTAAAGCACAGGCCAGGTTTTCTTTGCCCGGAAGGCATGTTTAATAAAGTAGAGGTCAGCAGAACTTCTTATGCAGGTGTCTGCAGTGCAAGAGCTTATTAAACCAGGGCAGAGCAGCACTGCAGAGAAAGCAGAGGAGAAAAACTGGCACAAATCTAAACACTGTTGCAGAACACACTACTCATCATTATCATTGATTTTACTTGTATTTTATTCATTGTTAATTTTTTGTATTTCCATACCATTCTGTTCTGACTTTTCTTTTTCTAATGGTCTATCTATCTATCTATCTATCTATCTATCTATCTATCTATCTATCTATCTATCTATCTATCTGTCTATCTATCTACATCTGCCAAATGTATCTTATCTTTGCAAAATTCGCAATCTCATATGAAACTCAAAGCTGTATATACAGTATATAAAAAAGTATATAGGCTAATCAATCTAAAACAAGCAAGGATTGTGTTACTGTAATTTGGAGGAGTGGAGGTAGTCACCATAGAGATGGTGTGCATGTGTTTATTTTCTTGACATTTCGCCATAAGAAACCCCCCGACCACCTCCAGTGTAGATCACTCATTGTTTGACCCTCACTTCATCTATAGAGGGAAATTGGTTTTTACGCCATCATAAATCTTCAAAAGCGTTACTGTACTGGAACACTGGAAGATTAATGTTTTCACCGTGTTTATGTTTCATCATCTTTATATAAAAAGGGCACCATCACTTCTGTGAGCGTGTCGAGGTAAGAAATGGTAAGAAACCAGATGAAGTCTACCAAGAGCTGTTTGTGTCCAAAACAGTGGAGCATTAATGTAGCCTATACCTTACCAGTCACTACTGGCCTGATGAAAGAACGTGTGCTTAAAAGATAACACCTAAAGCTTAAAACTCTAACTTTGGAATTTAGGATCCAATTTAGACGAACTTGCATCGAATGATGTGTGATGGTAAATGATTTTGGAGCACTGTGATATGATGGGTCACTCACTGTATGACAGTGGCATTCCTTGGGACCTTGGCCTCAATAGAAATCTATTCATGGAATTCATCTTCAGATATTTCTCTAGGCACAGATTAATCAGGAAAAGCCCTATGGAAATTATACTAAAATTGTATTACACCCTTGATGTTCTATAGCTCACTTATCCAAGAGTTTTATTTATTGATTTATTTTTTACGTAAGATCGCGCGCGGCCATTTGTACCTTAAATATACGAGGCTTCCGGTGTCATTCACTAGTTATTTTACCTGTAGGCTACAAAAACAGACAGTTGTACCATGTTATTTTAACTCATTATCATAATCATAAGCACACTGGTTTATAGCGCAAACAGTTTTAGCGTTCACTGCACTTCGTTATTCTTGTAGTTATTTACATAATGGCTAATGAAGTTTCGCAGGAAATGGCTAACTTCCACATTGTGAAATAAAGTAGACTAGTTCTAAAAACTAGATATGACAAAATCAACTGATTTAAGGGAAATCCAAGACCATATTGTGCAATCTAATCATCAAATTGATGATGAATCTCACGTAGGCTAATCAAACATGCTTTTGGATACAAAAATAATGTATTAAAATTAGTGCTGCCAAACGATTAATCGCGATTAATTGCATCCAAAATAAAAGTTTTTTTTACTGTGTTTATTTATTATGTATATATAAATACACACACATGCATGAACAGTGGGTACGGAAAGCATTCAGACCCCGTCTTCCATTTAAGGAATGGAGGCCACTGTGCTCTTGGGAACCTTAAGTGCAGCAGAATTTTTTTTGTAACCTTGGCCAGATCTGTGCCTTGCCACAATTCTGTGTCTGAGCTCTTCAGGCGGTTCCTTTGACCTCATGATTCTCATTTGTTCTGACATGCACTGTGAGCTGTAAGGTCTTATATAGACAGGTGTGTGGCTTTGCTAATCAAGTCCAATCAGTATAATCAAACACAGCTGGACTCGAATGAAGGTGTAGAACCATCTCAAGGCTGATCAGAAGAAATGGACAGCCCCTGAGTTAAATATATGAGTGTCACAGCAAAGGGTCTGAATACTTAGGACCATGTGATATTTCAGTTTTTCTTTTTTAATAAATCTGCAAAAATGTCAACAATTCTGTGTTTTTCTGTCAATATGGGGTGCTGTGTGTACATTAATGAGGAAAAAAAATTAACAAATGATTTTAGCAAATGGCTGCAATATAACAAAGAGTGAAAAATTTAAGGGGGTCTGAATACTTTCCGTACCCACTGTATATATTTCAGAGAAATTTTATTTTTTATATATTAAATGTATTTATTTATAATAGAAATTATATGAATAGAAATATTGACGTAAATATTCTCAAAATATATACTGTATGTGTATTTATATATACATAATAAATATACACAGAACACACACATTATGCAAACAAAAACTTTTATTTTGGATGCGATTAATCGTTTGACAGCACTAATTAAACTAATGGAACACATTTTAACATAAACAAATATTTAACATCCCATAAGGCCAATATTATGACCAGAATCAGAATTAGCTTTATTTGCCAAGTGTGTGCAAACACACAAATAATTTTTTTTTTTTAAGGAGCTCTTACATGCATGCATACATACATACATACATAGGCCTATCTGAAATGAGAACAGAAATCATTTAAATAAGACTTCACAATAAATAATAATGTATGAATCTGGATGGAACAGAAGATTTGTGCATTATTGAAATATGTTTTAAGTATATGCGAAATATATGTTGTAAACAGTAAGCGCCATGAAACTTATTTTTTGAAAGTGAAAATATAGTTTTCAATTTCAGGTGCAGTTTCTAATCTTACAGTAGGTTGTTCTTCAAATGTGACTTGAATGCATTTTCTTGGATTGAAGTATATGGAGGCCAGGCCAAACATATATATTTATATTTTTAAAAATATACAAAAAAATTGGCCAAAAATATAGACTATTGAAAGAAAATATAAGCTATTTATACATTTTGGAACACATTTTAGCAAATATATTTTGGCTTCTTTTTTTTTGCTGTATATAACGAGGCATATTGTCACAATGAAACCTGCCATTAATTAAAATGCATCTTTTTAATGGATTTAATAAAAATAAAAAAATGAAACAAAATCTTAAAATAGCTATTTTGGGCAAAAGTATGATGTTCTTAGTTTAGAAGAATTCACAAATATCATTGTAATAATCTAAGACAGTTTTGAATTATGAGTTTAAAACTAATATACAAAGGTGCTTCAGAGAAATTTGACTTTTGGCTCGAAACCTCAGACACGGTGCATTTTATTATTGTATAGAGCGGAGTTCCTCAAATCTTGCCCTGGAGGGCCAATGCACTGCAGAGTTTAGCTCCAACCCTGATCAAACTCACCTACCTGTGATTTTCTAATGATCCCGAAGACATTGATTAGCATGCTCAGGTGTGTTTGATTAGGGTTAGACCTAAACTCTGCAGGAAAGTGGATCTCGTGGGCCAGATTTGAGGATCCCTGGTATAGACTATAGCTCATCTCAGTACAGCCAGTGCTGTCTGTGCTCATGACCACAACAAAGCAACAACGCCAGAGTGGCTTCCAGCCCGGTTTGAAGTTCTTGGAGGGCAGAAACGCGCTGAAGCTGCTGCGTGCGTGGGTCCTGCGTTCGTTAATTCAGCGAAGTCTCGCGGTGTTCACGCAACCCCTCTCAGACGTCTTGCGTTTGTCAGACCGCTTCGAATCTGCTACACGCACGAGCAGAAACGCAGCATCGCTCGGTCGCCATCACACCTTCACATGCGGGGCTGAACTGAGTTTGCGCGCTCGAGACACTCGGAGAGGATCGCGCGCGGCGTTATTTTCGTATTGTGCGTCATTTCTGCATTTCTGCGCGTTTCCACCCAGGCAATATGGCAACACCCGCCGCTGTAAACCCATCGGGTGAGTAGCGGTTTTACCCCTATGCTTTTAAAAACAACGCAGGTGGCGTTTAAACGGAAACCGAAAGTCTGCTTTTTACGCATGTTGTTGTTTTCGCGCTAACAAAAGAAACCGAGACGCTTTAAACGCACGCGAGCACCCCCCCACCCCCACGCAAGTAACAACAGCGACATTTAAGTATTTTAAAACGCTACATTGTATCATCACGTGTATATAATAGTTATAATAACGTTCGTGCGAGTGTATTGGCTCTATTCTGCCGAGGCTTGTTGCTAATGCAAATTAGATGCTGAATACATTTGCCACAAGCTAGTACGTGCTTTGATTTCCTTGATAAGCGACTGTTGGATCTGATACGTTGCTTATGGGTCTGTTATTGTGTTATGAGATGGAGCGCTTAACTCTGCCTGTTGATTCCAGAATGGTTTAATTATTTATCAGCTCAGAACAACAACCGAAAAGGATGTTGAAGGTCAAACTTATGAGAAATGAATTTAAAGTATATTTTAAGTAGCAGAGATGCACAGATATAGAACTGTTGGGAAGTCGGAAGTCATGCTTCAGGTGGATTCAGGCATCAAACATTTATAACTCTGTAAAGCCCAACATATGAAATGCATTAGATTTTTCAGACTTTTCAAAAGTGGAACCGTTTATTTAATGCATCAGTTTTATTCAGAGGCCCAAACTGAGCAAAAATCAGCAATTTGGTGTAGTTGTTGTTATTTATGGCCAAAAAGTAAGATTCGATTCTGATAGCTTTTAATGTAAATCAATGAGATGTTTAGGCTATAGCAGACTACATGCATAACCCTATATCTCCCAGTAATATGTCTTAGTAAGATGATTTTTAAATGCTTAGTTTTAATGATCAAAGCCCTATAGTTTCAAAACATAAAATGCAAGGCAACACGGTGATTGAGAAATGAACAAATCAGCATTCCTCAAAAGCCCGATGGGTCATATTTCATACTCTCATTTCTAACATTTTCTACAAAGCGATGTATGATAATCAAGCAAACCGAAGTTGCTTTAGTCCAGTAAGTGTTCATCTTTAAATTTAACTAAAAATATGAAAGTTAAAGTCTTGTGTTTACTTTATAAAGATCAGTAAAGATAGGGAGACAATTGTACTGAAAAGGCCTTTTGCTTGCTGAAAAAGTATGAACCACCTATCAGATGACCGAAAGCATGTAGAAGATTATGTGCAACAGGTTTTTGGAAATGTTTTTATCATGTTGATCATTTAGATGCTTGCCTTTAGAAATTCACACATCAGCTATTTTACAAAAGCACAATATTATCGGCTTCTAGAATTGTCCTGATAAAACTGATACTCTGTTTAAGAAGATCATCTGATAAACCTCATGCAACAGACTTCAATAAAACGAACTTGTTTAGTGATTGTTCACAGGAAACCGGTCACAGAAGCCTACTGCTGCTCAGTTTATTTAGTCACTTGCGAAAGTAAATTACACTCCATGACTCCATTGCTTCCACGAACACTCGTTCCCCCAGCGGGCAATTCCTTCCCCACCACCGACCTCATTGTAAATGCAAATGAGTCAAAATGAATAAAGAATGTGAGCGTTATAAGCACCTGGTTGACACGCCGAGCTGCCAAGCATGCTTTAAAATGCACAAGAGCATTCTGGAATTGAGTCACGTGACTGCAGTTAGCTAGCTTTTATTTCACTTGCTTAACAAATCTGCAGGCCATCTGTACTTTTCTGTAAAGTAAATCTGTAAAGGCCCCGGTTGCAGCACAGCCACGATAAGAACGTGTTTTGTACAAATAGCACTAGGTTTGTGAATGGGAATTACAGGCACAGTTGATTAGCCACAGTTCGGACTGTTTGCCGACCTCTTGTGTTTGTGAAGGAAGCCTCTCTGTTGAAAGCAGTGACGGATAACAGGACTGACCAGAAGTGTAGCATTGCTAAGAAAGAATTGTGTGCATATGGTGTGCTGCATGAGCTAGCAAATGCTAAATAATTGACTTTTCTCATTTTAATTTCAAACTTGCTGTATTTGGGCTTTGAGAGGCTGAGATTGATATATGATTTTATATATATATATATATACTTGACCGCATAAGTGTGTGAAATATGCTTTACTGTTTATACTGTATTCTGCTGATACGTTTTACAGATGTGTGTTTATTGGCTGTTTATCATTTTAAAGTCAGAACCACCTGTTTTATAATATTTATAATGTTTTGAGTCTTATGTTTTTGGTTGTCCGTCTCATCATGGGATGCTATTCATTTGTATATACTGTATATAATCTGGTGTTTTGGTTAAATGGCCATCAGTGTTGTTAAAACAAAATGTTTGGTAAAGTGAAATCAAATGTAAATGTTAGATGTAAAACTTGGAAATGGAAAGTAGAAATGTTGCACTGGTAAGTTAAAGTCCTACTAAAATGACAAAAACTAAAAATAATAATGAAAAATCTAAATTAAAGGGAAAGTTTGCCCAAAAATGAAAATTCTGAAAACCAAATATTTGCTGGTAGCAATTGAGCCATTTGAAACTATTTAAGTCAATGGCTACCGGCAACTGTTTGGTTACCAACATTCTTCTCTTCAAAAAAATCTTCTTTTGTGTTCAGCAGAAGAAAGAAACTCATACAGGTTTGGGACAATTTGTGGGTGAGTAAATGATGATAGAATTTTCATATTTGTGTACACTATATCTTTAAATCAAAACTTTTAGTAAATAGTATAGAAATAATACTAAAATCACAATGATGCACATGGTTCATAACATTGCAGTTTGTCTCAACGATGCCATACACTTTCATTTCATTTTCTGAAGTGATTTAGAACCTTATAAAGAGACCTTGGTTGAAATTTCTGTGAAATAATTGGACACACATTTATATCAGTGGAGTTAAATGGGTTGTTTTATCTAAATACCTCTCTGCAATAATAGAGCAACATTTCATTTCGCTGAACTTTTCCTTGCATTTTTATGTGCTACACGTTTGCCGTCAAGTCTTATTTATTATGTGTACAAGCCAAGTTTCTAATCACCAAATAGACATTGTTGACAAGTTGTTTTGCCAAATTAGAAAGAGGAAGGATGTTAATTCAATAGCTTGTCATTTCTTCCTTTAAACTTGTAGGTTTCTGAACCATCGCAGCTCGGAAGCACTCAATTGAGAAACTCTTTTCTGCATGGAAATGTGCCAGGTGTCGCTTCGACCTCATCGGCACCCAGAGATCATTATACTGCTTGAGTCGCACTGAATTGCTCCTTTCACTCTCTTTTAAGTGCTGCTGGAGAATAAAGGAACTAAATGCTTTACTACTGAATGGGTTATTTTCCGTTCTTCATTTTTCGTCGCCCTTGTGTTTGGAATGGCCTGATTCCATCTTTTTCTGTCACGGCTTCTGGTTTTATAGGGTTTTAGCAATGATCTAAAAAGGTCTGGTAGTCCATTCTGACATTTTATATGGTTAGCTCGGAGTAAAGTAATAGACAGGGCTACAAACTCAGCAAAATTTACTGCTTTGAAATGTGTGTTTTGTATGTAATTTGTAATGATTAGTTAATTTTTTTCATGGAATGGTGCAAGAGAGAAAGGCTCAAATGTTACAAAAAATTACCTTGTCAAAAGGAGTTTTTTTCCCTTTCTCATTTAATGTGGTATTTGTTGTAAGTCCATGTAAATATGTTTTCATGGCCGGTCATGTGCTTGACTATCAGTTCACTCAAGGACTGGCAACTTTCAAGGTCTACAGAGAAAGACTTTTCATTTACTAGTAATATAGCAAAAATTGCCTACACATGAGTTATTATTGGCTGATATTTGGCCATTTTGAGATCATCATCAGTGGGCAATGATCATGTTGGTTTGATGAATTAACAAACTAGCATTGGCTCTCTTTACCAGCAGCCCAATTTGTTTTCATGCATTTAAGTTTGTGAATGTTAATATTATTGCCACCTTTAGTGTGTAGCCTATGTGTGCATCTCAATTGCTATAATTCGGTTGTATGTGATATAGACCTCATGGGCTGATATTTTTGTTCTTTTGTTTGCCAAGGCTGCATTTATTTAATCAAAAATAGTTAAAACAGTAAAATTGTCAAATTATTACAATATTAAATAACTTTTTTTTTATTGGAATGTATTTTAAAATGTATTTTATTGCTGTGATCAAAGCTGAATTTTCAGCATCATTACCCCAGCCTTCAGTGTCACATGATGCTGCAGAAATCAGTCTAATATGTAATGTTGAAAACACTTGTGCTGATTCATATTTTTGTGGAAACTGCAATAAAAATGTTTTTTTCAGGATTCTTTAATGGATAAAAAGTTCAAAAGAACAGCATTTATTTGAAATGAAAATATATCGTAACAGTATAAATCTCTTTGCTGTCACTTTTGATCAATTAAAAAAAGCATACTTAAAAAAAAAAAACTTTTACTGACCCAAACAGTAATCTGTATGCATTATTTCAAGAGCCCTACTCTTTAGCATCGGCCATTGAAACGCCAAAATCGACTGAGCCTCTGCCGCTACCCACAATCCTGTGCTGAATCTCAAGTCCTGATAATCCAGATCTGAATCATTCCTCCAAAGAAATCAATTGATCTAAGTTTATCCGTCACAGCACAGATCCGACAGCGTGGTGTTCTGGGAAGGTTTTCTTTATGCTTTGAGGAATTTGCTCATTTGGAGCGTTTTTGTCTCAATGGAGTTCGCTTCTCACACAAAACACGAAACGAGACGTGCTGTCCACATGTATAAAGAGCTCAGACATTACATGCGATCCTAAGGGACGGGGCCCGGTACCAAGCGCCGTGTGGATGCTTTGTTTAGGGGCGTATCTGAATGAAACGGGCCTCTGGTCATTAGAATGATTCGGAGGAGAGAAGAGAGAGGAGCGTGTGAGCTGTTGAGTCTTGATTTACAATGAGAGACAGCAGTGTCCTTCACTCCGTCCCACGAGACAGATTAATGAGTTTGACCTGAGGGCTTTCTGACGGAGAACGACAACGGATGAGGGAGCTTTAGAAAGTTCTGCAAAGCAGTGAGGCGTCTGAAAAGGAGATATTTTGCAGAATGTTCGCACAGCTTTTTCCATGCGGTGAAAGCATACGGTGACCAGCACTAAAAAAAACATTTGAACCCTGTACAGCCTGTCTTATGAAACGGTAGTCCAAAAAATCTATTTTTTTTAATTGTGTGTGTATATATATATATATATATATAAATTGGACACACATTTATATCAGTGGAGTTAAATGGGTTGTTTTATCTAAATACCTCTCTGCAATAATAGAGCAACATTTCATTTCGCTGAACTTTTCCTTGCATTTTTATGTGCTACACGTTTGCCGTCAAGTCTTATTTATTATGTGTACAAGCCAAGTTTCTAATCACCAAATAGACATTGTTGACAAGTTGTTTTGCCAAATTAGAAAGAGGAAGGATGTTAATTCAATAGCTTGTCATTTCTTCCTTTAAACTTGTAGGTTTCTGAACCATCGCAGCTCGGAAGCACTCAATTGAGAAACTCTTTTCTGCATGGAAATGTGCCAGGTGTCGCTTCGACCTCATCGGCACCCAGAGATCATTATACTGCTTGAGTCGCACTGAATTGCTCCTTTCACTCTCTTTTAAGTGCTGCTGGAGAATAAAGGAACTAAATGCTTTACTACTGAATGGGTTATTTTCCGTTCTTCATTTTTCGTCGCCCTTGTGTTTGGAATGGCCTGATTCCATCTTTTTCTGTCACGGCTTCTGGTTTTATAGGGTTTTAGCAATGATCTAAAAAGGTCTGGTAGTCCATTCTGACATTTTATATGGTTAGCTCGGAGTAAAGTAATAGACAGGGCTACAAACTCAGCAAAATTTACTGCTTTGAAATGTGTGTTTTGTATGTAATTTGTAATGATTAGTTAATTTTTTTCATGGAATGGTGCAAGAGAGAAAGGCTCAAATGTTACAAAAAATTACCTTGTCAAAAGGAGTTTTTTTCCCTTTCTCATTTAATGTGGTATTTGTTGTAAGTCCATGTAAATATGTTTTCATGGCCGGTCATGTGCTTGACTATCAGTTCACTCAAGGACTGGCAACTTTCAAGGTCTACAGAGAAAGACTTTTCATTTACTAGTAATATAGCAAAAATTGCCTACACATGAGTTATTATTGGCTGATATTTGGCCATTTTGAGATCATCATCAGTGGGCAATGATCATGTTGGTTTGATGAATTAACAAACTAGCATTGGCTCTCTTTACCAGCAGCCCAATTTGTTTTCATGCATTTAAGTTTGTGAATGTTAATATTATTGCCACCTTTAGTGTGTAGCCTATGTGTGCATCTCAATTGCTATAATTCGGTTGTATGTGATATAGACCTCATGGGCTGATATTTTTGTTCTTTTGTTTGCCAAGGCTGCATTTATTTAATCAAAAATAGTTAAAACAGTAAAATTGTCAAATTATTACAATATTAAATAACTTTTTTTTTATTGGAATGTATTTTAAAATGTATTTTATTGCTGTGATCAAAGCTGAATTTTCAGCATCATTACCCCAGCCTTCAGTGTCACATGATGCTGCAGAAATCAGTCTAATATGTAATGTTGAAAACACTTGTGCTGATTCATATTTTTGTGGAAACTGCAATAAAAATGTTTTTTTCAGGATTCTTTAATGGATAAAAAGTTCAAAAGAACAGCATTTATTTGAAATGAAAATATATCGTAACAGTATAAATCTCTTTGCTGTCACTTTTGATCAATTAAAAAAAGCATACTTAAAAAAAAAAAACTTTTACTGACCCAAACAGTAATCTGTATGCATTATTTCAAGAGCCCTACTCTTTAGCATCGGCCATTGAAACGCCAAAATCGACTGAGCCTCTGCCGCTACCCACAATCCTGTGCTGAATCTCAAGTCCTGATAATCCAGATCTGAATCATTCCTCCAAAGAAATCAATTGATCTAAGTTTATCCGTCACAGCACAGATCCGACAGCGTGGTGTTCTGGGAAGGTTTTCTTTATGCTTTGAGGAATTTGCTCATTTGGAGCGTTTTTGTCTCAATGGAGTTCGCTTCTCACACAAAACACGAAACGAGACGTGCTGTCCACATGTATAAAGAGCTCAGACATTACATGCGATCCTAAGGGACGGGGCCCGGTACCAAGCGCCGTGTGGATGCTTTGTTTAGGGGCGTATCTGAATGAAACGGGCCTCTGGTCATTAGAATGATTCGGAGGAGAGAAGAGAGAGGAGCGTGTGAGCTGTTGAGTCTTGATTTACAATGAGAGACAGCAGTGTCCTTCACTCCGTCCCACGAGACAGATTAATGAGTTTGACCTGAGGGCTTTCTGACGGAGAACGACAACGGATGAGGGAGCTTTAGAAAGTTCTGCAAAGCAGTGAGGCGTCTGAAAAGGAGATATTTTGCAGAATGTTCGCACAGCTTTTTCCATGCGGTGAAAGCATACGGTGACCAGCACTAAAAAAAACATTTGAACCCTGTACAGCCTGTCTTATGAAACGGTAGTCCAAAAAATCTATTTTTTTTAATTGTGTGTGTATATATATATATATATATATATATATATATATATATATATATATATATTATTTTTTTTTAGCTTGTAATGGCAATCAATGAGATCTGTATAATAGTATAACAGACTACAATATATAGGCTAAATTTGTCACTCTGTATCTCCCAATAATACAATTATAATGATCAAAGCTTTGTAGTTTAACATGTAATGCAATGCAATACAATGGTGATTGTTAGATGAACAAATAAACATTTCTCAAAAACGTTTGTTTTTTCTAAAAAATTATGTATGATAATCAAGTAAACCTACACTCTTAAAAATAAAGGTGCTTCAAAAGGTTCCACATTTTTGGTTCCACAAAGAACCATCTCTCTCTTACCTTTTATAATCTGAAGGACCTTCTTTCGCCACAGAGAACAGTTTTTGTGAAACAGGAAGGTTCTGCAGATGTTAAAGGTTCTTTATGGAACCATTTCCACAAAAAAAAATAAAAATATATATGCTGTATATACATACATAAACAGAATAACACTGGTTTGCATAATCTTAAAAGTTAACTTGTGGCAGCCTTAAACAGTTTTAGCCCGCTTCATATGTACTGAGGTGTAAGTTTGTAAACCTCATAAATGAATAATGAAAACTCAGCGAAAGGGTCTGCTCAGCTCCAGAGTACAGGAGACTTTATCAAATATTAATATGATTCTGCAATCATCGGGCTGAGCATGTCAGAGTGTTCATTTTCTCAGCCAGCTTACTGTTGGCGATGTTAGTCTGTGTGTGTGTCACATACTGATACTGTTTCATTAGTGCAATGGTTTGTGATGCATTTTGTCTTGCTTTGTGACCAGCAACACACAAATACATTGTTTTTTTATATTTGTGTGTACACTGTTCAAAAGTTTGGGGTTAGTACGATTAAAATTTTTTTACATTTTATTCTGCAAGTATGCATTGAATTATCTTTATAATGATATAAAATATTTCTATTTCAAATAAATGTGGTTGTTTTTGAACTTTTTATTCATTGAAAACATTCAGAAAATTAAAACGTATCACCGTTTCCACAAAAATATTAAACAGCACAGCTCTTTTCAACATTAATAATAATGAGAATTGTTTCTTGAGCAGTATATCAGAATGATTTCTGAAGGATCATGTGACACTGAAGACTGGAGTAATGATGCTGAAAATTCAGCTTTGATCACAGCAATAAATTACATTTTAACATGCATTCATATAGACAACAGTCATTTTAAATGGCAGTAATATTGCATAATATTACTGTATTTTTGATTAAACAAATGCAGCTTTGGTGAGCATAAGGGACTTCTTTCACAAACATTAAAAAATCTTACTGACCCAAGACATTTGAATGGTAGTGTACTGTGAAATTTGATGTGCATGTTATTGCTCTGATTATATTTTGTCAGCTTTGACGGAGAATTCATAATGCGAATACATGTTTGACAAAGAGTAGATGATATGCTCACTGTTTATTCAAAATGTATTAATGCTTGTTTTTTTATTTGTCATCTAGAATGTAGATGATCACTGATGCACCAGTTGTATGTATGTGAAGTCAGTGTTTCTGTGGTTGATGGGGAAGATGTTTTCGGTCTTTCAGAAATGGGCACGGATCTGCCGGGGCCGGTGGCCATGCCGGGTGCTGTGGTGGGCGGGGGTCAGGTCCGGATGGCGGGAGCCATGCCGGGGCGAGGAGGCAAGCGGAGATCAGCGGGGTGAGTTATTATGCTGAACAGAGTATTATTTTCATAATTGTAGATGCTCTGTAAAGGGGTCATATGATGCAATTTCAAATTTTCCTTTCTCTTTGGAGTGTTCCAAGCTGTCTGTGCATAGATAAGATCCCTAAAGTTGCAAAAACTAAAGTCTCAAACCCAAAGAGATATTCTTTATAAAAATTAAGACTCGTCCACGCTCTCCTAAAACGCCTCATTTAAACACGCCCCCACATGTCTACGTCACTGTGTGGGAAGATTTGCATAACGCCGCCAAATGTGCACGCAAAGAAAGAAGGCGTAACTTTTATTCTCGTTGTAGTATTGTTGCCGCCGCCATGTCGTGAAGACGCTGTGTTTCATTGTGAAAGCGAAACTACTTTGTTTGGTTTTCCAAAAAACTAGAAATCAGTGGTTAAGTTGTATTTACAAAACTGTTCCAGAACAGTTCAAACCAAATATTCAGATGTGTGCAGCACATTTTATGGAGGACTGTTTCCTGAAACTGCAGAGTAGCCTACAATGCCGTCTACACACAAAGGCTGTTTCTGTAAAGTGGGGCAGTTCCAACTTTGCAAGGACAGTCTGGCGCTTCTGACTCACAGCCTGTAAGTAGGTAGTTTTTTATATTTAAAGAATTTGCCAATGATGATTCAAACGCGAGTTTTGAGCAGTGTAGAGTAGCGCTTGTTGTTTGTCATTTCTCCGATCACAAATGCAGACATGGTTTCGCAATGCAAAGCGTAAAAACAGAGTACAAGTCATTATAATCAGTAATTATGTCCCCACTGGATGCAACAAATGCCTCGTTTATAATGGGTTTTATTGGTGTTGTCTCATTGCGCTGGGAGACACGGCATCAACAGTATGTGAGGGGCGTAACATTTCTGTCACACGCTTGAGGTATTCGGCCAATCACAACACACTGGATAGCTGGCCAATCAGAGCACACCTCGCTTTTCAGACCGATGAGCTTTGTAAAAATCGATTGCTTTTCAGAAAGGTGGGGCATAGAGGAGAAACAATAATGTACATTGTGGAAAATAATATGTTTTTTTAACCTTAAACCACATAAACACATTGCATTACACCAAATACACAACATAATGTTCTTTTTAGCAGCATCATATGACCCCTTTAAAATGACACTTAACAGTTCAATATAGTGACTTGCAAATGACAAAAATATAAATAGAAAAGTAAGAATTACCCATTTTCAGATGTGTTGAAAATTTTCTTAACTGTTCAAGGGGAATTGGGTACAGTTGCACAGGTTTTGGCCCTTTTTGTTCTTTCTTTAATAGTCCATTAATGAAACAAAAACTTATGTTGAAAAATTTATAAATTAAATTAGAACATAATGTGTAAGATAAGATATGTAGATAAATAATTAATGCATCAACAGCCATTCGCTCACATTACTAATTAGACCATCATTCTTATTCTTATTATTACTTGAATGAATGCATGAATGATTGTTTATTCAGATATCCAATTTCCCTTAAAGAATGAAACTATACACGTGCATATTTAGTTCTATTCTATGTTTATAATTTCTTTCTACGTAACTTCTTATTGCATCAGATGTGTGATTGACACGTTTTTTAGTCTATTGAAAGTTATGTGACGCATACAGCAGGCAGCATCATGAATCAGGAGTGTTTGCAGTTGAACGCAGCTTTAATGAGCTCATGAAATGATATGACTGTCTCTCAGAGCCCATTATGAAGGAGTGCTCGTTATTTTCATTGTCTCTTATTATGTAACACTTTATTATTTGTTTTGCCATTGAAAAGGTGTTCGGTGTTAATGAAAGGAAATAAGAACATTTCATTTATTGATTATCTTCCTCATGGATCTCCAGTACTGACATTACTGAGCTACATCTACTTTTGAATACTTTATCAGAGTAAAATTGCTCTCATATTTTTCAGATAATCAACCATATTTATGCTGCATCTTCTGAAAAACAATATAAATGGCATTTCCAAAGAGGTGGATCTTGGTTAGATTTATTCTGTGCCCATTATAGTGAAATATGAATACTATATATTATCCTTTATTTTTTATATTATACAGTGTTAAGCAGAGCCCAGTGTATAGCTGCCCAAATAACTGTACAATAGCAGCACAACTAATTTGTCTCAATCGGTAACAGTGGCATCTGCTGTGTTGGAGGCAGGACTTCAGTTCCCTGCATGCACCACAGCATGAATAAATAAAGCAATAAACCCCAAGAAGCAGTGGTTTACAGTGAATTTATAACAGCTAAGGGGCGTTGTTAGGCACGATGCAAAGCGTCCCCCGTTAGCTGTTATAAATTCACCGTAAACCACGGCTTCACGGGGCTTATTGCTTTTATAAAACAGTTATTCCATAAATGTAGTAAGGTTTCACAAAATAAAACAGAGCAAATAAAGTGTAATGATATGAATAAAAACATTATTCTTTCGCCAAACAATGTAGTTCCTCAGAAACGGTTGCCGAGCAACACAAAGTAGTGCTGTGCGGTATGACCAAAAATTTATATCACAGTATTTTTCAAAATTAGACCGGTTTCACGGTACATGATGGCATTTTTTCCCCATGCATGACCAGATGTTAACCATATTTTCTATTGATTGAGAGAGGAAATACTGCAGTATATTGACATGAACACACTTTTACTTTACACCAGCAGTTTCATGAATCAACCTTCCATTTTCCTTCTTCCTTTAGAAATGGATTATGGTGCTAAAATCTTGTAGAAGTATCTCTGTAGACATGCACACACGCACACATGCTCACACAGAGAGCTTTTGTCTTCTTAAGGTTGATTTATACTTCTGCGTCGGACCTACGCCGTAGCCTTTACACTGTAGGCTATGCGTCAGTTTTCATTTATACTTCTGCGTCTTTGTCCGCGTCAACGTGCAGTACACATGCAAACCGCTAGTCTGCAGTGTCCACGGGCATGTTGCTGGTGTAACCTGCAGTACCACGGCAAAAGCCGAAGAAGAAGCGGCTCGTCGGAGAAGCATTATAGCCGTGACGGTGTCAAATAAATATCAAATCATTAAATCATTTTTTAAACTACAAAAAGGAGACGACAACGGAACAGGAGATGATGGCATTCTTTCAATCTCCACAAGGACTTGTACCACGGCAGATCAACATTGTTTGTCGTGGACAACTACTGATGTATAATGCTATGTAGTATAATAAATGATAAGACACTTGTTCTTTGCTTTGTTTTATTTTATATAAGAAGGTGTAACATTAAAATATATTAAATTGCACATAAACACACACAAAACGCAATTACATACGGAGGGACTGGTTCTTGCAGACCAATCACAGCGCTTGCGGTCTGCGTAGAATTGACGCGCTGTTAGATTTTTGGAGAGGTGCACGTCAGGCTACGGCGTATGGGTGTGCGTCTATGCGTAAGCTACGGCGTAGGTCCGACGCAGAAGTATAAATCAGCCTTTAGTAACACATACAGCTGTTCCCTCACCACAGTGCAACAGTGAAAAGGGACCCCTTTCAAACTGTCAAGTTCCGAACGTTGTTTAAGCGACATACACCGGTATTGCGGTATTTAAAAAATTAATATCATAACAAAAATAAACACCGTTATTCGGTATGAACCGGTATACCGCCCAGCACTAACACAAATGTAAACAAACGTGTATGTTTGTAGTGTAATTTACAACAGCTTCGAACTTGGCTCAACCAATCAGAATCAAGGACCGGAACTATCCGTTTTATAATCATGCAATGTACAGCTCAGTGTTTTATCTATTGACTGAATAGTATGTGTATCGGTATCAGACACTATCAGTGTAGTGTGATTCTTAAAATAAATAACTTATTTAATTTTTGGGATTTTTGCCTTTATTAAATTAGATATTAAATAATAAAACATATACGTTTTATTTTAGCATTTATAGTTGTAGTTTTTATTTATTTATAGTTTATATAAAATTTAAGGGGGTCTGAATACTTTCCGTACCCACTGTAAATCAGTTCTTCGTAAAAAATATTTTTAAAATAACTTTTTTCATTTAAAATATTTTTTTCTTTCATTTTTTAAAAATATTTTTAATGGAAATTTCCATGCTTGAAAGAATGCATTTCTAAAAGACCACATGTGGCCTGGCTGTTACCTGCCTCGTTCACTTTTAAGAGAGGAACTACTGTGGAAACAATGATAGGTAATGATCTCAAATATAATTTAAGAAGTACCTAATGTTTAGCCTGTTAATCTTCAATTTAAATCGAATACTCCTACAGTGGAAACGCTGTGTTTTCGTGATCGTGCCATGTTTTTGTTCAGTGCTCATGAATATTGTCCCCTAAAAAGAGGTGGTTTCCATGGAGAAAACACTTCACCTGCCCACACAACGACATCAGAGAGGTTCTGATTCATAAAACCTCTCTCATACTCAGTCAGTTCTTAATTCATCACAGATTGAAACTTCTGTCCCTCACGTCAGAAAGCAATTGAAATTTGGTTCCAGAACCACCTCCTCGTACTTTCTGATATTTGACAGCATAGTTTCTACAAGTAGGTTGTCCATGTTTTATGTAGCAGACTATAAACAGTGTTACTGACTGTAATAATCTGCTTTCTAAGCTTAGTTTTTTCCAAAAACTATGTTTTGTGATTGGTTTCTGTTATCTGTATTTAGTTTGATTGACTTTTCTGTTTACAGTGTTGTGGTTTGTTGATTAGCTTCTCTGTTCAAGTTCATTATGATTCATGTAAAGCAGTTTTTCTGTTGCATAAGCTGCCCATGTATAAATGTTTTAAATGAGCAAGTGTATTTGTTTTCTTGTTTCAGGATGGACTTTGATGACGAGGACGGCGAGGGACCCAGCAAATTTTCAAGGCAAACTTTTTCCATTGATTGCAAGCTTTCCAAACAAACAAATCAGACCACGCACCATGTCCTTTCTTTTATATTTTCTGTTGTTTGACCGTGTCTTTCAGCTGTGCCACAGCGTTTGTGCCATTTCAAGACATCGTTCATGTTATGTTGCCCTCAACTTATGGTTTCCTTTCAGTTCATGTTCTTTTAAAGGAGCTGTATCCATAGTTGCGCTGTGCCTGACGGTAAAGACGCCACACATTTAGCTAGCACTGGAATGGAGACACTGCCTCCTGCTGGAGATACAGGACACACTCCAGCAATTCCTCTCCCGCTTGGAGCAATTACTCACTAATAATACTCACTAAATGGCTTTCGTTAAATAATCACCATCACATTGTTCCAAACCTATATGCTGCTTTTTTCCACTGAATGATACACTGGAAATGTGTAGGATTTACTTTTGAAACAATTTTCACCTAGACATTGCTAGTACATTTCACTAATAATTACAAAAAAATGGCAAGCAAACTATTAAATAAATATGAAATTGAAAACATGTAAGACTAATACTTCTGTCAAACGATTAATTGCGATTAATTGCATCAAATACACGTTTTTGTTTACATAATGTATGTGTGTGTACTGTGTGTATTTATTATGTATATATATTTAATACAAACACATGCATGCATATATTTAAGAAAAATGTTATGTTTATAAATTAAATATTTTTATATATAATATAGCCACTGAATGATACACTGGAAATGTGTAGGATTTACTTTTGAAACAATTTTCACCTAGACATTGCTAGTACATTTCACTAATAATTACAAAAAAATGGCAAGCAAACTATTAAATAAATATGAAATTGAAAACATGTAAGACTGAAATAGGATTATCCTGTGAATTGTACTTCAGTATTTTTTTTTTTACGGTGTACACGATAATTTATACTCCAAAGATAAAGCATTGCTTTCTTCAAAACAGTTATGAACAATGCACTATGTTTGTAGGACTTTGTGTCTGAAATTTGTCGTCAGTGACCAAAAGCTTCAAAATATCATCAAATCTCATTAAAAAAAAAAAACGGCATAGGGGTTTGAAACATGACTTCCAAATATATACGTTTTTGTTTACATAATGTATGTGTGTGTACTGTGTGTATTTATTATGTATATATATTTAATACAAACACATGCATGCATATATTTAAGAAAAATTTTATGTTTATAAATTAAATATTTTTATATATAATATAGGAATATAAATGTATATGCATGTAAATATTTCCAAAATATATACTGTATGAGTGTGTATTTATATATACATAACAAATATGCACAGTACACATACATACATTATGTAAACAAAAACTTTTATTTTGAATGCGATTAATCACGATTAATCATTTGACAGCACTAATTTTATATATATATATTAAATAAATATTTTAAAAATCCAATAAATTAAAATAATTAAATAGACAAGTACGTTTTTATCTTATTTTCACATATCTGTTTAACTTGAGTGCTATTGAAATGACTAAAAATGAAGTAAAAATAAATCAAAGCTATATAGACCTATTAAAAATAAATAAATAAAAGTAACTAATAATAAATGGAAAAAAACACATAACTAACTTACTAAAACATAAACTAAATTAAAAAAAAAAAAAAAAAAAAAAAATAAAAATAAAT